TTGAACAGCTTACCCTTACACCACTCCCTTGTCAGGAAGGGTCGGATGCTGGGCTGCACTCCTGGGACACAGCGCCGGGCTGCAGGCTCTGTGGGAGCAGGGAAAATGGACAAGAGGGGTTGCAAAAGCTGCCTAAAGCTCGGGGTCCCAGTCCTGGATTTGTACTGCGCAGAGCAAATGCAGGACCTGGCTGAAGCCAAGAAATGATAACCAGGATATGTATGCCCCATGCACAGATACCAGCTGCCCTCCATCCCCCTTGGCCAGGCTTTCGGAGGAGGAGTGAGGACACGAAGGCATCCTCTGCCAGGTTTCCTCCTCTGCAGGGGTGCAGCCAGCGGGGCTTGGCTGCTGGGTGGGTCTGGGTCCCATCCTGCACCAAGTGTCTCCGGTGCACGTCTCGGTCCTTGGGTTAAGCACAATGCCCATAGATCTGCCACGATAACCAGGCAGGCTTCCTCTGCTGCATTTAATCCATTGCAAAGTTTCTACAGGTGACCCTCTCATTATATAAACGTATTGGGGAAAGCCTTGAGTCATGATTTCCAGGGTCCTCTGGGATAATGCGATGAAGGCTGCTTTCGGGAGGTTGGGCTGAAGTTCTAGGGCACAGACTTCCTTTGCTGCAAAAAAAGAGTACAGCTTTGGATCAACCAAAACTTTTTACCTAGACTTGTGAAATTTAGCAAGTGGTTTTGGCGATGGCAGAGCAGGGATATCTCAAGATTTTTGAAATAACTGAAGCGATTTGTTTTTTCACTAGGAAACAAAGCTTTGTTTTGAAATTTGTCTCAGCTTTGTAATAATAATGAACAGTAAGAAAGAAAAATCCTTCCAGGGAAACAATAATGTTTCTATTTAAGTCAAATGAAGATTTTTCTCTTCAACCCAAGTTGAATAGAACTTTTCACTTCTTTGAGGAAGAAAAAAAGGGGCTTTGGGCCATCAAAACCAAAAAAGGCTGTATAAGGAGTAATAACAATAAAAAAAAATTTATTTGCCTATTTCTGTCTATTCAGGTGTGCAGTTTAATTACTGATGTGATGAAACATGTCAGATGCGGAGGGCCAGATCCCTCACTCATGCAGAGAAGACACATAACACGTTTAAGGACTTACACACTAGACCAGTTGAGCTAAGGAATAAAGACAGGGGAACTAAATGTACCTTCCCTCTCTCTAGTAGTGGAAATCAGAGGAGCCACCTCATCTGTTCAGCACACAGCCTGATCCCACATCAGAGCAGCTAAAGAAGGTGCGGTGGGATCTGCTGCCGGCCAGCTGTTTGAGGCAACTCAAATCATAGAATCTTAGGCTGGTTTGGGTTGGAAGGGACCTTTAGAGGCCACCTAGTCCAACGCCCCTGCAATGACCAGGGACATCTTCAACTGGATCAGGTTGCTCAGAGCCCCGTCCAACCTGGCCTTGAGTTTTTCCAGGGATGGGGCATCTACCACCTCTCTGGGCAACCCATTCCAGTGTTTCACCATCCACACCATAAAAAAAATTCTTCCTTCTATCTGGAGGTTTGAAAATGGTTTGGGCTTTCCAGTCTCACAAGTGAGGCATGGTGTGCACTAATCCTCTCTGTGGTGTCGCTGGGGAGGGGGCTTCCCAGGTCCTTTTGTCCAGCAGAGCATCTTCACCGCCAGAATTCTGCCTAGTAAGTGGTGGCTCCTTGGTAAACAGTACAATCATTAAATGTCAGCTACTGCTTACGATTTAATTGCTTTTGAATTTTAGCAAGCAGCTCCTCATTCATAGCAAATGGGCTTTTCGTACATTCAAGATTGTGCTATTAGCTGCACAATGGAGAGGCTGGTTTCCTGTAAATATTGAGATTTGGTAATTATAACCCGACAGTTATTAACACTCCACGGCAGATAAATGCTTCAGCTGCTGAATCCGCTGTGGGCAAACCTCCTTCCGGAAAGAGCGTCTTATCAGTGAGTGGAGGAAGGCTCTAGCTGCCATACTCCATTAACACCACGTTAATGAGCCAACAGCCCACGCACCACAAGGAAAACATACCCTGAAGTGAAGCAGATGGGCTCAGAAGCCAAAGCCACACAATGGGGAAACCTCAGAAATCATAGCTAAATTCAGTAGAAAACAAAAGATGGGCAGCTTGGCCCTCCTTGTAGTAAATATCTGAGAGTAACATGCATTCTTGGGTCTTACTGGGTGAAGTTGTGGACTTTTCATTGACTTCAGGAGGACCTGGGTCTCATCTGGTTACAGGCAGTATGTCAAAATCCATCCATAAACCACTGCTGGTTACCTGAGCTCCGCACCAGCGTCTCCGCTCCAGTGAAATCCTTCAGCAACCCTCACGGAGGACTTGGGATTCAGTCCTTGGGATAACCGCACTCCTAACCCCCAGCAGGGCTTCACGCATCTTGATGCTAGAGCTGCTTAAAATAAAACAAACAAAAGCGAGTTGACAAATGGGACTGAATCAGTGTGGGGGGAAGCACTAGCACGTTAATCGTGTAAATGATTAACAAGTGTCTCTTAGTCATATGTGAATGATGCTTCCCCACATGCTAGTAAAAGTGCTACAGCATCATTCATAACAGTAATGGTGTCATAGCAGAAAAAGCCCTCACACTTGAGTGTATTTGCTGGGAGGCAATGGCTATTGCACATGGTTTTAAAGAATTTATTCTTTTACAGACTCGGGTAAGTCTGTCAGCCTTCCCACCAGCGCTCCGTCACTCTACCTCACTGTCGTTAGTGAGGATGTTATGTACGTGAAGCACAAAATTAAAATGAAATAGCTTTCAGTTATATATGCCAGACAGAGCAAATGCGTCCTTGAAGTCGTAGGGACATGGTTTAGTGGTGGGATGGCAGGGTTAGGTTAACGGTTGGACCCGATGATCTTAAAGGTCTTTTCCAACCTAGACGATTCTATGATTCTAAGGCCTTTGATACAGCTGCGTGTAACTCCTGTTTTGCTGGTGCTGTGGTTTGTAGGCAGCAGTACTGGTATCAATATGAGCATTCTGCATGTCAGCCTGGTAAAACTTCCCCAAGTGCTGCTTGTGAATGCAGAATGATTTCAGATAGAGGAAGGTGCCGCGTGTTTTCCAAGGGTTTTGATAGAGTCAGGGATTTTTGGACAAAACTGGTTGCCTACCAGGTTTTGGTACAGCGGTAGTTGGGAAAGGCTTTCTGGTCAGAAACGCAATAGCCAGTCATCCAGAGGGATGCTATTTGCATCTCACATCCCTGCCCTGATCTCTGTGCCAGTGTGCCCAGGGAAAAGGCAGCTGAGCCCCTGCGCCTCCCATTGCACGGGGGTCTCTGCACCGTGGAGATCCTCGACTCCATGTGCGCCTGCTTGGAAAAAGAGCAGGAACCAGGGAGCAATCATACAAAAAGGCCTTATTAAAAACAGGGTAGGGAAGGGGTAAGGACTCCAACATACACCTGATCCTTCCAAAGGGGCCTCCTGCTCAGGGCCGGTCTGGAATGTGAGGCGCTTGGTAGAGCAGAACTTGGCCAGAGTTTGTGGTGCCAGGGCTGGCGAGGTGGGAATGCAGCCTCAAACACATGCTTCCAGTTTCCAGTGGCCAAGAAGAGATTTTGGTTAATAATACAGATGCCTGTATTAAATATACTAAAGTGATAGCTGGCTCTGTGATCTTCCGCATCAGACCTGCCAGGCAGCGGCGACTGTAAGGCACCTTCACCATGCTGTTCCAATACAGGGCTCTTGTCAGGGCCATTTTCTGATTAGCCAAAACCTTCCTTCCCTCCCTCTGCTACAAACAGGGCTTGTCACCTGTTTCTCATCTGTTTTCATTATAGAGGAAAAGTAATTGGTACATCTGGGCATTACTGGAGAAAAGGCTTGGCTAAAGCCATAATGGGGTAATTATAGCCTGAACTGAGCCATGCCGATGCATTGTAAATACATTTGCCTCTGAGTGTGTGATATTGTCACGTGTCCGTTCAGGTGGCTTTTTGGGGAGAGGGAGGAGAAAGAGGGGCGAAGTGAAAAGCTGACCATGCCTGACCTATCCCATGCATGTGCGGTAAACCTCGAAGATACAAATCCCTGCCATCCCAGCAGAAAAACAACAGTGTGCCCCACTGTAGGATGGGCCAGTGGCTCATTTTCCAAATGGCTGGTTTTCCTGGGGATTCAATTATCCTGTGTACAACAACTTGCTTCTGGTCTTTTATAACTGCAAAGAGACACCAAACCAAAATAGCTCGTTTTCACTGTTTTCGTGGTGCTCTCTGCTAAACAGCAACACATGACTGCTGGTAGACCACAGAAGCCAGTAAGCTAATGTAAAGCGTGACGGCAGGCTCTGGCAGCAGCCTACGCGGGCTGAAGGAGAGGGGAAGAGAGTACACAGAACCAGAAACCTCAAGTGGCTCCACGCGCACGTGTGTGTGTCTTTTGAGTGGGGCTCCCAGACACATCTCCACAAACTCCCAGCCCTCCCTCCTGGAGGTGACACTTCCAGTGCAGGAGAAAGTGTTCAAAGCTTTGGTGGTGTTTTACATCATTGGTGCACGGCACATCACAGAGCCACACAGTGACGGAACAGCTGAGGCTGGAAGGGGCCTCTGGAGGTTGTCTGGTCCAACCCCGCCACTCAAGCAGGGCCACCCAGAGCCAGTTGCCCAGGACCAAGTCCAGGCAAATGGTCCACATCCATTGCACCAAGGTGGTAGCATCTGCTTTGTGCCGTGGGGTTCGGGTGCAGTTCTGCCTAGCCCAGGTGGATGTTAAAGTTCAGAGGGTTTTGCCTTGATTGCAAGCACCAGCGTAAGATGCTGCTGCAGTAGCTGAGCCAGCCCCCCCAAAACTGGATGGGTAATGGGACCTGGAACTTTGTCTGTCTCTTGGCATGTCATTGCTATGCTGCAGGGTTGGAGAGGTACAGGATTTCAGAACGTAGGGGAAGGAGAAGCCGTCTGGAGTTGGGCATGCCTCTGGGGTCACTCTGGCCTCCAGCCCGTGCCTCTTCCCTGGCTGGCATACTGCGTTTGCAGGGGCACACCGTGGTCAGGAAGGGGGTTCTCCAGGGTGAGGCTCATCCTCCATACCCCTTGGTGTGCCCTACTCTGCAATTTCTCCAAATGCAGGAAACCTACCTGCATATTTTGGGGTAGTGGCAGTTTGTGTTCATACTCTTCCCTGTTTTCATTTTTCATATTAAATTGTCATACCTCTGAGCTGTAATGAGCTTTTATGATCAAAAATATTAAAACAGATTGGTATAATGGTCTTATCCTGTACATATGGAAAAATCCAGAATGGGAATAGGGAGAGATTTAACTACGACACAGGCAAAAGTGGCATTTGCAGGAGACAGAGCAGAGCAGAGCGGCATTGGCGCTGGACCTCTGCAAGCTCCACACCAGTTGAATATCCACCTTTATTTCCATAGCCAGAGACCACCATTTCTATTTCTTTCTTTTACCTTTTTTTTTTCCGATTAGGGAAAAGTTACGTCCTTTTGGGCTTGACTAAAATGGAGTGATCTGTTCATTTAGCTGCTGAGAAGGGAAATTAACTTCATTCTTATCCGTCTACCTTATTAGCACAAATATTGCGGCTGCATTATCCCATCCCACATAAAACCCCGTACAGTAGAGCCTTTTAATTGTCTGGCTAATTGTTTGGCCTCGGAGCTGCCTATTTCCGATTGTCTAATTCTCATTAGAATGCCAGCTGACACCGAGTCCTCCAAAGCTCCCTTTAGCTGCTTTTAACCACTTCTGGACTAATTTGGTGGTGTTGAAAGCACTTAGAGAAAGGCAACCAACAATAAGAAACGCAGTGCAAATGTTTCTCTTCTCTGATGCATTCAACATTTTAAATCTTGGCCATAAAGGAGTTTTGATGCTGGTTTAAATGCACAGATCCCTACAGAATCACAGCATTGTTGTGAGGGTTCAGGAGTGTGCAAAATGCGTGGACTGAAAATCTAGGCGCAAATGCTTCAGTCCTTGATCTGAAATATCTCCTTCTGAAACCTATGGGGTTTTTCACCCTATGAATAAGGAATGAATCAGGCTGGCCGGGTGCAGGCCCCCAGAGAGAGAAAGGGTCGGTCTGTACTGCAGCACTCTTTGTTAGCCCTACCTTAAGCATTTCTGAGGACAGCCTACAAAAACTGAACGGCACTAAATCTTGGGCTCACACTCTAAATTCAGTGCCATATATTATTGCCATGCAGCCCTTTTTTCACTTTATGATACTTCAGCACCCATTTCAGAATCTAGCTGAGCCCACAGCCATAGTTAGAAAGCTTTCCTGTTGTCTGTTCCTTCAGTTTTCTTTGAACAGCTCTCAGAGTCTAGTGAGTCACCTGAGACTGGCCAAAGCTTGGCCCATGTTGCCGTCAGACTGAACACAAGCAGGTAGGAAAGCTCAGTGGGGCAGGACGCCCGCAGAGTCATGTTCCCCACCACCGCTGCCCTGAGAAGATGGGGAAAAAATGTGTTCCTGCCAGATTTTGAGTGACACCCTAAAACCTAGAGAGGGATCAAAACATGGCCAGCTACTGAAAGTGGATGGTATAGATCTGATGAGGGTTTGTTACCGGTTTTAGCACTAGATTCCTTGGTCACAAGTGCAGGAGAAGAGTGGGAACGGCTTCAGTGCTGCTGTGGTGGAGGGTTTACTGGCTTCCCACAGATGAGGGGACCTCTTGCTTAGCTAGGGAGCCTTAGGGCACTGGTTCCCAATGGCCAAGGCTCCCTTTTGCTGCATCCTGTGAGCTCCTTAGGCAGAATGAAAGGTTTCAGGGAGACTTAAAGCTTGGGAGGCTGTCCACAAGCTTTCCCAGCATCTCCCCCCAATGCATCCCAGTGAGCAGATGGGCAGAGATGAGGGAAGCCCTGGCAGCCTTTCTGCTACCCCGTAACAGCAAGCATCACACCTATCGGCCAGGGTGCCCGGGGCACCCAGCGCCCAGGTCACCCATCCCAGCCAGCCACAGCAGTGTATTTTCAAAGCATCGCGTTTGACAGCTTCCAAAATGAAATACCATGAGATTGCCGCTTCGCAAAAATGTGGCATTTGGGGATTTTCCTCACAATTATTGGAGAAAAACATTTGGAAGGGTCATGTATGGAGTTTATGAAAATTCCTGCATGTTGTCCCAGTCCACCCCAGGACTTGCCTTGTGTTCTCCCAAACATCTCAGCACCGCCGTCCCCCAAGATATGTCGATGGCCTACTGCATCGCTGTCTGCAGCCAAAGCTGTTAATGATATTTCCTGCCAGCAAGGGCAGCTGAGACCTTATGTCTGGCATATACAACTTCTGTGTATATCTATCTATCTGTCTGTCTGCCTATATAGATATATATATCTTGTTCGGAAGATGTAGTAGCAAAATTTTGTATCAACAGTTCCTTCTTATGTGAAAGATAAAAGGGGAAGGAGAATAAATCTTCTCTCATCTTGCAGCTTGGGGTGCCTGTTCCAAAAAGAGGTCCTGAAGACCACAGCCAGAGAGATCATGGTTGAGAGCAACACACAGCCGCTGATTGAGCCTGGCGCCTCTTCCTCCCATCCCGAGATGGGGCATTTCCTACGTTTTTCTGTACAGTTCCACTGCCCTGATAGGCTTCATTTCCCAAGCATCCTTTCTAAAAATACTTTAACTGCTTTTGCCATGGATTTCTCTTCCTCACTTTCTTGCTTTCTAGAAAATCACAGTGTTCTTCCTTGACATTTCCTCCTGCCTCATGGAACGGGAGACCGAGTTACTGTTGTCTCCTTCAGCTGTGAACACAGATGGAATTTATGGCTTTTTGGGTTGTATTTATAACTGTTTTAAAAGCATGGCAAATGTCATCTACAAAAACTCTTGTTAGGCTGTTTCTTCCCCAGGCACCGCACGCTTCGCAGCTGCTGCGGCACACGAGGCGAGGGTCCGTGGCGTGGCGTGAATTACTGCTTTTGTAGCTGTAGACACTTCTGTGACTTGTTCAGGGATTTACCTGAACGTGACACTGGCTTGAGTCGTATGCTTCATGTGAGCCACGTGCTTCCCACATGGAGGAACCACATGCACCGCCGCTCGCCTGTCTCACACAGGCATAGGTTAAAATGGATGAAAGTGCCACAAATTGTCTCTTGAATGCATTTTTCAGGTTTGTCTCTGCATTTAAACTACTATTTGCCTTTAGGTCTCACAGCCTTGTCAACTTTTTTGTCTTTTGCAGATTTTTTTTTTTATTGGTTATATCTCAGTTCTGTAGCCTGAATTTTTCAGATATCCACAAGTATCTGATTAATTTTTGCCTTTTAGCCCAGGTTCCTAAGGAAACAAATCTCATCCAGTTGTGTATCTTGTCCGTAATAACTTCTGGGCAATTTTTCAACCAAATTTGATAGAAGGTTAAATGTCTGCAACACATAAGTTCCTGCAGCTTCCATGAAAATTAGTCTGGTTAGAAGAAAGAGGAAGAAATTAAGCTGGCACTGGAGGAAAGGCAGCTGTCACTCAGTGTTCAGCGGCAGCAGCAAATGTCCCAGCCACCTGGCAGGACCTGGCCGCAGCAGTTTGTCCCACCAAACGGGCCAGGAACATGAGAGGGAGTTGAGCAAACTGCTGTTTGGTGATGGGATTTTGAGGACACTGGGTGCCAACCCTCAAGAAATTGGAGTTTACCAGATCCGTTGCTCATGGAATGACTTTATTAAACAGGAAGGCTAAACAAACATTTTCCTTCCTCCTGATCGTGTGTCATTTCTTCTCAAGCCAATGCTTCTGAAAACAGGAGTCTAATGTTAGCACAGCTTCCCCAGAAGAGGTTTCCAAGACGCTCTGCTCCCAGCAGCTCTTACTGAAATTAATGGGAGCTGCTGGGGCTCAGTGCTTCCAAAAATAAAAACACTTTGCCAGTGGTACAGATGCAGATGTCTAAATTTAAGCTGTAGTTTTTGAGCATCTGGGGCCTAAATCCATGTCTGAGCACTTCAAAACAAGTGGCCTGATTTTTTACAGGTACTGAACTGCCTTACTGAAGTCAAGGGACTTACGGGCTGTCCGGATCAGGCTATATTTGGAAAGCAAGGGGTAGGAATAGGTAGCTGAAATTTAGGCACACAAATTGGAGCACATGGGCCGTGCACCTGAGAGCAGGGGTTCTCAAAGCGTTCAGC